ACTTACCGGATGTGGTCACCGGAAGTGACCGGAAAACGTGTCTCGGAGATGGTCCCGAAATTACATAGAAAGCGTTAGAATTAAAAAATTATTTTTTGTGCAAAAAATTCTCGGATTATTAGGCTATTCAGTAAAACAAACTGCTTTTGAAAATATTAAGCCATTACAGAGATATTTAAATTATAGCCAGGAACAACAATATTGTATTCCCCAATATATACAGTAATTTTTAATCACTATGTTAATTTATATTTTATAAATTTACTAGTTTTCAAAAAAATATTAGCTATATTAGTTTTAATAACCTAATGATATATTAAATATTAATATTATAAATTCAACTCCAAATAAATCTAGTTGATTGCACATTATTTTTAAAAATTTCATTTATTAAATTGTGTTCAAAAAATAACCACATTTATCATTGTAACTTTCACAAAAAATAGAATAACAAATATAATTTTTCCGATTATGAAACGTGAAAACTTTTCATCACGCCTTACATCATACTTTGACCATGGCTAATTTTTGTTGGGACGATTATCTTGGAAGATTGACAACTTGCCGTTTTCTTCGGCATATTTTACGCCTACTCGAGCAGCTGTTCCCACCGCTGGTGACACTCTATCCACTTGTTTTATGCCTTTCTGGACCCATTCCCCGGTAGACTTGCCAGCCTGGTAAACACCATCGTAAACTTGACTAACCCCTTTCGGGCGGTACTTGTCCACGTAGTCCCTCACGGGGTCCCAATGGTTACCACCAGACATTACTAACAAAACAGAATCAAGCTATTTTAAAAGTTTTTGATTTACAAAGATTAATTGGAAATAAATGTTAGACAGGGTAAATATTACCTTACTAAATTGTAGCTTATATCGACGTGAGAAAATATAATAAATTGGTGATTACTTTATAACATAGACTTTGTTTATAATTTTCAAACTTATTTTTTGAAGTCTATTACATGAGTGTCTGATTAGCGACAGTACATGAGCTTATATAAGCCAGCTAGACCAGTTAGTGATTAATACAGGATATGTTTAATGACCATGAATTTAAATATCACTTACAATTATAGCATTTCATATAAACATTAATATTACTTAATTTGGTGATAAAGTATTGCAACAAGATAATAAAAAACAATTTCACTTTATTATAAATATTTGCATTTTAAACTACAAATTAACCTTGATGATATCTATAAACTGCGATTTCATGCGATTGTAAGAAATAGTATTATAAAATTTTAATAATAATAATAATAATAATTTATTTTAATGACATTAATATTTAATGAAATTACTACTTTATTTTATTAGTTTAAATATATTTAATAAAATTAAATATAAATAAAGTTAATGTTTTAAAAATTGTTTGAACTCATTTTACTTATATAATTGTAATTTTATTTACATATAACTTTATGTGATTGCATTTCCTATCAAGGTTAATTTGTATATTAAATTATAAATATTGACAATAAAATGGAATAATCTTAATGATACAAAGTAGAAATGCATAATAAGATATTCAAAATAATTTAATGCATATAATTTTTAAATATTTATATATTTGTATGTAAAATATATATTACCACATTTGAGCATTGATAATTACTGATATTTTATAGTAAAATGCCAAAATTTATTTTAATTTGCAATATATTGCAAGAATAAAACAAATGATCAAAAATAAATTCAACGCATATGTGTCGCAAAATGTCGGCCCATCCGTGGCTATCAATCGGTTTGAAAAATATTTGACAAGAAATCTGCTATTAATCTACGGTTTCGATGACTACGCGAATGGCGTTCAACGCATACCACGAGTCAT